TACTCAGCCTATTATAATAACATATATACATTTTACTTTGTTTTTTCTCTTTCCTCCAATTTTTTCACCTAGACAAATTTTTTGTATGTATGTATGTATGTATGTATGTTTGTATGTATATATTGACACAAGGTACAGTTCAGGCTGACCTGTACTCACTGTGTAGCCGAGACTGGCTTCAAACTCACTGTGATCCTTTTGCCTTAGACTCCTGAATGCTGGAGTCACAGATATGTAGCACTATGCTTGGCTTAGAAAAATTTTATATTTTTCTGATTTCTTACTCTTTTGCTTAGAGATTTTTCCATTTCTTGACACTTTTTAAAAAAAGTAAATCTGACAATTTTAATGTGCTGTATCCTTTCTAGGTAGTCTCATCAACTTTGATTTTATCATTTCTTTTTGATAATAAACTTTAATGTGTTCTTTCCTAAATCCATGTTCTCAGTAAAGATTATACAAAGACCAAGTTTCAGATCACAGAAGCATCTTTGTGGCTCACTTCTCCAGTGAAAAACATTTGCAATGAACCGGTTGTTTTCCGATTAGCAGGTCAGGATAACAGGGCTAGTTACTTATTTTCTGGGGGAAAATAGAGGCAGATCCCAGAGGTTTGTACTGTTTTGCAGTATTCTTGTTGCATTTTCAGAAGTCTCTGCATTGATGATTTTGCTAGCTTAGCTATTACAGTTTAGGGTAGAGGTTTAATTTTAAATATCATCATTATTGGCTATAGAGCAATTACTACCTGTACATTTTAAAAAACAAAGCAGTACAGATTCCCAAGTTTAATTTCCTGGAGGATACCTTGTTAAGCTTCATCACAAAGTCTCTCATTTCCTTATACAAGACATTTACATAAGAACCATGGGGAGTTCTAATGATCTCAGATTTTTTAAGCTGAAATTTTGAGCCACAAAATAAATGTTTTGAAACTTCCCAGCAGACAGTAATAGTAATGTGCTTTACAGGGAACCCTGAACAAACAGTGTGGTTTACAATTACTTTAACAAAACATTCTAATCAAAGGAGCATTCCACAAGGAATACGGGTATTTCTCTAAGTTACTGTTCATCTTCACTCTGCTTAGCCAAGCAGAGAAGGAAAAAGAAGCTAGATAATTCAAAGACAGGGAGGAGAAGTTTTCTTTACCACACCATACAGAGCACTGTGTCAGTCCAGCTGATTTTAGAGCTCACAATTACAATTATAAGTACAGCACTCTTTGGTTCACCAAGACATTGAGGTGGGGTATGTTAGGGTAGAAATTTATAAAACATAGTATGTCCAAGGAGTGCTAACATTGCAATTTCCTTCCAACACAGATTTCTTTGGTCACAATAAAGTATCCCGTCCATTTCATGTGGTTATCAAAATGCTTGCTTCTCCCTAAATACTGTTTAAGGGAAATTGAAGTAATTCTAGGTGGAAATTCCTGACTCTGGCATACTCAAAAAGTCCAAACATTACCCATGAAAGTTTGGAGACAGTCATTTATGCTGTTCTATGATTTAACCACATGTAAGAATAAGTTGAATTGAGATGAATAATATTGTTAACGAAAATGTTCATTTATACAACTATATATAATTATATATATATATATATCTACTACTAATCAATATCAAGCCTATACACTTATTCATAAAGAATAAAAATATTAAAATTGTTAGTATTCATAGGATACAGTCTAAGAAGGAAACCAGAATGAAAGAAGGGGACTCAATAGCATTTTAAGGAAGTGTTGATGTGGAAAAGACTATTGGTCAACAAATAGGAAAAACTTAGGACTAAACCTGTAATTTATTGTAACCCCATTTAATAACACAAATGAAACATTCCTGTTTTTCAATCTCATATACTTAAGTGCTCTGAAAGGTTACTGGTTTTCATTGTTTAAACAATCTAAAATCAGAATTTATGACAGTACTGTGATCAGAAATAGCAACTTTACTAGCTTCCTTTAAAAAAATGCACTGCTTACCTTGAGACTATTAATGTGTGTGTTATCAGAGGAGACATGGATTGCCTTGGCAATTATATGAATGAAGAAGTAGAAGAAAGGAAATAATATTTAAAACATTTGTTAACATAACATACTATAAAGGAGTAAAATGAATTTTGGACCCACAGCGAAAACATTTTCTGAAGGAAACGTGCCCCTTAGGCCTGTAGTCCTACTTATCAGAACATTCTCTCCCTAAAATCACTAGTTCAAGTACTGTTTATTTTCATAATTTTTTGATCAGTACAACCATTATCTGTCTAAGCAGTGATAGAGCTATTCTTATCCATATGTTTATCCTCTTCATGACAAAGCACTCATGAGGGTCTTCATCTATTTCATAATAACTGCATCAATGAGCAAATAAACAAAAGCAAAAAGGAAGGTAAGAAGACAAATTGTTAGACTTAGAACATGGCAAATTTACATTGTGACTCATTCAGAGTCAGGAAAAAGAGCACACAAGTCAAAAGCAGACTCCCATTCCTTCAGGATATTTTATGGGAACTGTAGTATCTTTGCTCCATTAATTTTCACTCCTTCCGTTAAGACATAGGCTACTTGGGTTCGGGTAAAGAATATGACCTCATTTCTTAGAACTGTTGACCTTGAAGCATGTCTTGATTGCCCTCAGGTCAGCTCTCTGGGATTGGTAGAGGCTCTGCTCTAATCATCTGAGCTGGACCTCAATTCACAGAACCTAGTCTTGAGTTCCAGCTTCACAGTTTCTTGCTGATTTAATCGAGTTAAGTTTTCATAGCTTAAGTTAGTCTTCTTTAAAACAAAACTAATGATTTGTACTTGATAAGGGTGGATTAGATGACAAGCACAGCTATATAAATTTGAAACATTATTTCTTGAGTAAAACAGAAAAAAAAATGAATCTGTATAGCTTACTGTAAGCATCCTTAGCATAGCAAAGACCTTAGCCTCACAACTTCAGAACCAACTTCCCTGGGCTCCTTGCCGTCACTCAGCAGTACTCAGGGCTCCAATTCGAGGTCTGTTCTTGCTGCTTCTCTCTCTAGGAAACTCTTGGCTGATTCTTCACAGGGCTGTCCCCTCATTTCCTTACACATGGGCTATATTACCTATAGAGATCTTCCACAGTCCCTATTTAAACAATGTTCCTGAAGTCGTTCTTTCTTCTACTGTATATCATTTTTTTAGAATACTTATCATTACTTCTATGTATCTCAATAGAATTTGTACTTCTTGAAAGTAGAAGCATTTCTTATTGCTTTTTACTTAATACCTAGACTATTCCCAGGCATAATTAGGCTTCTCAGAAATACCTTAAAATGAATTCTCCTTAACTTATAGAGAAGGATAGGAACATTTGAAATTACATTTTTGTATCAATTTTGTAACCTAAGGTAAGTTAACATCTCCAAGCCTCAAGCGATTTTTCTAAAAACTTCAAGTTTATCTTTAGGTTTGTCATAACTGGTGTGTATCTAGTTGCATACTTCAGAAAAATGTGTCAAAATGAAATTGTAATTAACTCAGTTTTAACTACCTGCTTAAGATAAACAGCATTAAGGACAATTTTTAAAAATGGAATTCTTAAGATAATTTTCAAATCATTAATTTGATATTGCCAGATCTAGAAACTTCCTGTCTTACAAAAATTATCATGTTGTTGTATGCTTCATCCCTGATGGTCTCTTAACATGCCTGTATCTTTAAAATTACACTTGTTTTATTCTCCAATCTTCATCCTCAGTTTCTAATACACACTTTGCATGGCTATTTATCACTAATTTTCAAGTCTCAGTTTAAATGCAAGTTTTCTTTATAAATTTTGTCTTTCTACCTGTTTAATCTCTATTTATGAATGTATTCATCTATCCATTCATCCATCCTTTTGTCTTTCTTATGTTGAGTCACACAATTTTGCAAATATTCAGCCATGTTTGTACAATAGGCATCTCCTGTGATTTCACTTGGAATATCTTCCTTTGCTGCCATCTAATCTCCATGAGTACTGAAGTATGACTTTTGTGTTATGTTGCCTCAGAGCTAAATACCGTACCTGATGCTTAGTAAATCCTCTATAAATATTCTTTGAATATTTAGAAAAAGAAGATGAGAAACATGAATAAGGAGGAGAATGAAGAAGATTGAGGAAGAATGGGAGAAGAGTTGAGAGGTAATAACAGAAGAAGTAGGATTAAAATATGAATAAAAAGACAGAGAAAGTGAAAGCATGGGTTAGAGACATTTTACATTCCAGTTTTACTTGAATACTTTCCATACCATATTGGTAGAAATAAAGAACTTGAACACCTGTGAGTTACCCAGGCATCTTGTATCATCACATTTTCAGTACATTTCTTCTGCCCAATGTTTTCTAGGTCCCACTTTTGATCATCCAGCTTTAAATTATTTTCACTCTAAATCACACTCATTTTTATGCATTTGTACATCTTTCATGTGTAACATCAAATTCTATGTTGAATGTTTCAATTTAAAAAATATTATAGTAAAAGTATAGTGCAATAATCTACCTCAGATGACTCTTATAGCCGTGTTCGGTTCTGGAAGTTGCCGTTCATGAGGCCCTTTAGCTGCACTGTGCAGCTGCTTGGCATCCTTAATCAACTCAAAACATTTACCTTTCATAGTCCTTTTGATTTGGGGGAAGAGCAAGAAGTTTCACAGTATTAAGTGATTAAGTTTATAAAAGGTGAATAAAATAGAAAAAGGACCCCCTAATAAGTTTATCAGCTGGCTTTTCTATTGGATAATACTCAGAAGAAGCATTCACCACTTTTTTTTAAATCACATGTACTAAAGACACTCACGAAAGAAGAGGGAGAAGAGCATGACCATAATGCTATGAGGTTGTATACCAATTCCCCCAAATCAATGCAATTATTATTTATTGCATACATATAGTAATAAAGCAAAACAGTGAACAATGAAGAGGCTGATATACCCTTTTTTAAAAAGCAGAGTCAGAGTGATGATAACAATTGGCAAGCAGCCTTACCGTCTAGATCATTCTCCGGGGTCTCTGCTGTGTACCAGTTGGAAGGTGGCCCAGTGCCGTTGACAGTCATGGCCGACACTTGAAAACTGTACTGACTTCCCTTCTCCAGTCCTAGAAAGTTTTACATCAGAAAAAAAAAAAAAGTTAAGTATTTCTAAGTTTTAAAAGTGTTAGCAAGATTCTAGTTGGCATTTCTGACATTGTTTGTGATTGTGGTGGTAATTACTGTTATTTTGACTAAAAGGTCAGAAATACCATAGCAAGAAATCAAGTTATTTTTCAAAAATTGTCATGCATTTTTTCCAGCTTACAAAAATGTATCAATGAAAACAGCCTCAGGGAAGATGCAGGATATTAAATATGAACAATGAAGAAATAATCAAACATATTAAGAATAATTTTTCCTCATTGTTCAGAAAAGCTATACCTATGAATTATGAACAATCTAAAAATGTATACTTCCATCTTTCATTTGAGATCACTAATTACTTTTTCTTTGTGGCCAGCAAAAAAAAAACCCAAAGACAGTGCTTCAAAAAAAATGCCACACTTTCATCTCTTGAAACTATTTTGGTAAATATTTGCATTTTGTATCATGTGTCATATTGCAGATGATGGAACACAATGTCTTTGATAATTTGGTTACACTGTATTATAAACAGTTATGCCATTAGCATTTAATTTGAAGAGCCCAGAAATTTCAGGTAGACTAGAGAAGACATATTTTCATATGATATGTATATATTTTTAATGTAAATAATTCTTTTACCTAAATTTCAAAGTAGCTTATTAATATGACAAATTATTGCCAAAAAAGTGACACTTTTCATGATAAATACTTTTTCCAACATTTCTGTTATAATCACATTAAAGGGAACTTTAAGATGTGATTATGTGATGAGGGTTCTGCCCACATGAATGAATTTCCCTTGTTACTGTAGGCGTGAGTTAGTTACAGAAGTGAGTTCCTGGTAAACAGGTTGAATTTGGACCAGTTTTTTTTTTTTTTTTTTTTTTTTTTTTTTATCTTGCATACCTGCTTGTGCTTCTACCTTCTCTCACTTGATGACCTCTCTAGATGCTGGTACTACCTCTTAGACTTACTGCTCTCCAAGACTATAAGCCATAACCCACTACAGTTTATAAACTACTAAGACTATGGAATTTTGTTACAGCAGCAGAAAATAGGCTAAAGCGCTTCTGAAAAGACCACATGAGGTTTCTGATTAGTTACAACAGTTTTTAACAAACACATAAAAATTAGGTTAAAATACAACATTTAAGACAGCATTGTTGCAAAGAGTTACTTTTGAACATAAAATCTTTGAAGTATGCTTGCACTAGCTTCAATTTGCTAACATAGTATTGATTTGATATTTTTTTTTTTTTTTTTTTTTTTTTTTTCGTTTTGGAACCACTGTTGATTACTGAGGCAGAGAGTTTGCAGAGATCTTCAGGGAAATTTAAAAATTAATAAGGAGAAAACTCCAGAAAGCTTATGAATTTCATTGTTTGAAATAGAGCTTTAATGCATCAAACATATACTGTTTCATTTTAGGCTGAAATTTAGCTGCATTTCTTTTCAAAATAGATACACAGTTGTATCAGTGCTGTTTGTTATTGTTTCGGGCTGAGATGTCTCCAAAGTCTTACATATTCAAGATGGGGCTTTTGCCAGGTGATTGGGCCACTGTATTCATCAGAGAGTTAATTCATTTCTGGGGGGGGGGGGGCTTGGTGCTGTACCAGAAGATGGAGCCCCAAGAGAAAAGCTGTGTCAGTGGGCTGTGACCCAGAAGGGAAGTGTATTCTTCTCTAGACACCTCCCACCTCTTTTTGCTTCTTCTCTGCCATAGGTTGAGCAGTTTCCATCTCCTGCCATTTCTGTCTTGTGCCAAGTGACTATGCTTATTTTAAAACCTCTGAAGGCATGAAGTAAAATAAACCTCTCCTCCTTTAAACTGTGGCTCACTGCTATTTTTTTTCAGTGACAGAAAAGGGACCAATCCAGTGTAGCCAACATCTGAATCAAAATACAATCTATGATGATCTTTTTATGCGATAACTGGGTTGGGCTACAGTACTCAGATAATCAAACACAAATTGAGGTATTTCAGGGAAGGTATTTTATAATGGGACTCAATTCCATATTCTGATGATTTTAAATTAGGGATATTGTCTGCCCTAGAGATTATATGTGCCAAGTCCAATCAGGTGAAAGGTTAGAAGAGCAGAGCTGAGGCTTCTCTGAAGCAGAAATTCTTGCTATGGATACTACTTTCTATTGAGAGCTCTAGTCTTTGTTTCTCATAGCAAGCTGTGGATTCTGGAAATGCCTCGCCGGATGCTACAATCACTGAAACCCATTATTTGCAATAAGTATCTTTATGGTCTCTCTTTATATTCTCTCTCTCTCTCTCTCTCTCTCTCTCGCTCGCTCGCTCTTTCTCTCTCGACACCATTTTATCACTTGCATTATTTGGAGATATAAATGGAAATCTTTTTGAATGTCAAATTCTATTTCTTTCATTTACTTACCTTTAAATTAAGTGATAATTTGTGGATGAATCTATTGATTTTAATATAATCTAATTTAAAATATCTCACTTTATAATTGATACCTGAATGTCCTTTAATAATTTCACCAGGTTTTGATTTCAATATTTGAGTTCAGGATCTCTCAGAGTATTAATCCAATTTTGAGTAAAATAAAACCTTAGTGATTTGAAGTTAACAAGCAGTTTAGAAGTTGATTTGTGATTCCAAGTGGGATCTCACCTGGTCATCCCAAATTATTTTTCTAAATAGAAGAGCTTCCTTCCAACCACATAGAGAAGAAAAGCTCTTATCACTTCTGTTATATCTGCCATGAAAATTTAGCATCCACCATGGATGAGTGACCTAGGTTATTTTGAAAATCTTTTCAAGTATTTTGAAGTACTGTCTTTTATCTAAAATAATTTTGGATTTTGGATTTCATTTTAGAAGACAGATGAGCTGTAAAACTTCTCTCAATACAAACATCTATAAAATCTTATGTATTTTCAATATTCTCTCTTAATCGTAAAAATTCTGTTTTGGAAAATAGAATATCTCTGTCTATATTTATTCCTAATACAAAGTTTCAACCTCTGTAATTCTTCTGTTCCATTTGTAATTTTAGTTCTTATTATAAAAGATGGTGTATTATTCAAAATATAATTTTCCTTTCTCTTTTTTAGCTTTGTTATACAAATTCTACGCTAGTGTTTCAGTTTCTCAGTCCATAAGATATCAAAGGATGTTTATCATGATGTTTACTCTATGCAGGCCACACAATGAAAAAGCAGTCTTCAATTCAATTCCAAACAATTTTTTGAGATGAGCCCTTTGAAATTAAATAAAAACAGCACTTGCAAATTTAGTTGATATGGATTCCCACAATGAAACTGATAGCAGTGATTTAAAATCCTCGCTGTAACTTCAAATTAGGTCATTTCTGCAGATGTCTCATTATCGTAGTAAAAAACAGCAACAATAACAACAAAATACCTGCCTAACAAATAGAGGATTGAAAAGAAAGTTTGAGTCTCTATGCCTGAATATTTGTATCATATAAATGAAGCATTCAAGTATTTTCAATTTTCTAACAGCCAAATCAATATATCCATGTATCTTATAGGCATTGAAAACATGGGGTCAAATCTTGTTCATTTACAGTGCGGCAGATTTACATGCAAAATCAATTGCTTCTAAAGTGTATCTGTTACCAGATATGTCCTGGGGACAAGTCTAAACCACAGCCAGTCTGTTAGTTTGTAATACTTCTCCTTAAGCTTTTGAAAACATTCCCAAGATGTCTGCAAATGTAACAGGTGTTTCTGAAGCCAGGTCACAGGGTAAAGGAGAGAAAGTACTTACCTACCTACGTACTTTATCTAATCTATCTACTTGGGATCAGTTTTAGGTGGATTCTGCTCACTAAGCTACATTTGATCTGTTTCAAGTTTTTATATTCTAATTTTGAGGCAGGATATTTCAAAGTTAATAAGTTGCCAGGGTGAGTCACAAACTTGTAAACTTCCTGCCTCAGCCACCCAGAATGTTAGAATTACAGGCATGTATCACTATTGTTGGCTTTGTGTTTAAATTTTTAAGGCATGAACCTATGGCTGGCTTTCATTGGTATTATAGGTGGATAATAGAGGGCTTATTGCAGTATAATTAGGCATAGTTAAAATATAACTACTCTTTTAATTTTTTATTCCTTAATGTATTTTTATGATTTTTCTTCATGAAATGAAAAAATAGTATAAAAAGCTGCAAATATGGAAATCAGGCCCTTACAAGTTAATAAAGATAACAATGGACATTTGTGAGGTCTCCCCAATAAGGAACTAATTAGTTCATCCCATTTCTTTGTTTTTCACTGAAATATTAATAAACCTGAGTAGTGAGGGGTAACCAAGTACTGATTGGAAATTGAAACTGTCACACATATTTTTGATGAATCAAAATGTGGTGCTGATTCATTTTTAAATGAGTGAAGTTTATTAGAGGATATAATTAAAAATGATTGTCCTTGAAAGAAAAATGATAAAAGAAAGCTATAATGAGTTACACAGCGCCCGTCCCAAACCCATGGATAGCTGGAACATCAGCATGTGACCTCACCTAGAAACAGGGTCTTTTGAGATACAATTAGTGGGTGATTTCAAGAAAAATCATTCTGGATTTAGGATGCGGACCTATTTCCACTGACTGGTATCCTCATTAGAATAAGGAAGGACACAGAGACACACAGAAAGGGAGATGATGCAAAGATGGGAGCAGAGATTGGAGTCATGCTTGGCACAGTGGACCAATAAACCAGGGATGCTAAGGACTTTTGATAACTACAAGAAATCCTTTCTCAGATTTTCTCTAAAAAACTGGTATCAATACTTTGATTCAGACTTCTGCCTCCTGAATTGTGACACTAAATTTCTATTATTTGAAGCAATCAAGTTTGTAATGGCAGCTTAAGGGTGAAAACAGTCTTTAATAGTGACTAGATTAATGCTTGTTTGCACTTTTAGCAAGTTGCCATTCTTAGAGGTAAAGTTGAAGTAGTTCATGTATTTAGTGAGTTG